AATTTCTTCACAGCCAAGACACACAGCCGGTTAAAAAGCTCGATGGTTTTACTCCAGGCAATCTTGTCATCTGTAATTATAATGAACCTTATTCTGAGGTAGTGGATGTAGAACCTGTCTTAAATGGGGGACGAAGGACCGCTGATCTTTGGAATATTCATTCTTTGTCATACGAAGAACAGCGGAATTCAACAATGCCAGTAGGAAGCAAGAAATTGTCAAGAGATAGTGTTGAATCGGTCGCTACACATGAAGAGTCTTTGAACACTCGGAATGGACGAGTGCCTGGGAAACTGGTGGTTCACGATTTTAATGAGAAGAATTCTTTGGCTTGCGAAAATAATGTAACTGAAAGTATACCGCTTCGTAAAGGCACGAGGGGGAATGTCGATGTATGGATAACCCAGTCTAATAAATATGGAGAGGAAAGATCAGAATTGCGAAATTCGATAGGAAAGCTTTCAGGGGATAAAGTGAAATTTCTTCACACACGAGATGTGCAGCCAGCTGTCACGATAGATAGTTCTTTGCAACATGGCAATCGAGTCACTCCCGATAATAGTCACCATCACCAAAATGTTTCTTTTGAAGTACTGAGAATTGTTTCCTCTGGAAAGGAACAGAAACCCAAGTCGACCACGACAAGAACACAAGTACTCCGATTAGAAGAACCAGCTGCAAGAGAAAGTCGGTCTGCTGATAGAGTAGATTTCAGTCTCTCCCAAAGTGGACAGGGCGCTGAGAGGTACGAGAGTGTTTCACTTGGCAAGATTGTCATTCCAGATTCGAAGCAGCACAGTTTTTCTGTGAATATACAACAATATTCTCCTGGTTTAGAGACAGAGAAACGGAATTCCCAACAATGGATGACGCAAACTGGAACACACGGAGAACCACCATCGAAACTGACCCATGGGTCTAGTGGGAAGGTACAGGCTTATTCCACATACACAGAGGCAGCTACAGCACTGGATGGCTCAACCCCTGGAGGAGTGGTAATTGTCGATGTTCATCACAGTCAGGACAGATCTTCCTCACAAGTACAAGAAGTGATCCCTCCTTCAACAGTGAAGGAAAATAATACTGAACAGTGGACAACCCAGATCATAACACACGAAGGATTCCAATCGGAAGGGCCCGGAACAATTCAGTTTCTTGACAATCACAAAGGGCATCCAATCACCACATCTGACAGTGTCTCGTCTGCTAATGCAACCGTTGCTCCTGGCTTTCAGCACAGTTTTTCTATACAAAGGCAAGATGGAAAACACATCGATGAAGAGTTGATCCAAAGACAGACCACGACAAGGTTGCGAGCGGACGAAGTACAGTTTGTAAACTCAGGGGAAGGGCAGCAGGTTATAACGTTAGATGGCTCTTCCGACGGTACTGTTGTCATTCCTATACAAATAGAGCATGTTTTGTCGCCTGCAAACGTCCAGATACGTAATAGTTAGGACCCTGATAAGTCTCAACATATACAAAGACAACTAAGAAGACCACCAAGTTTGATCGCATTGCCAAGCCAAGATGTTCAATGCAGAACAGTGAATAATCAGTTACAACGTTACATTTATACGCTCGAGCAGCAAGAAGTTGTTTAGCACGGATTTCACACGCTGCTTATCAGAGAAAAAATATTAAGCTGTGAATGAAGTATTAATTTACAATTTTTTTTTAAATCAATTGATCACTGGAACTGAAATAGGAAATAATTCGAATTTTTGTGCAAGTTAGCAAGAAGAAGCAGAAATACGTCATGTATGAAACTAATATTTAGGTAAAAATTGGCGGCAACAGCACGTTTGTACATTCCCAGATCAGTAAGGATCACAAATGAAGCCTTCACTATTGATCTGAGTTCCATAGCTTCTCCTAAAGCACTTTAAAGTTTTAGACAGTGCGTTACTTATTAAGTTTATCAAAAGCTTGAATTCTGCCGCGGTTTTGAATGTTCTAATGTTTTGGCATCAGAGTTAGAATCTCTAATCCCAGTGTAGCTATTGCACTTTCAGTCTTAGAAGCCTAAAATGGCATTGTCAAGATGTAAATAGAAATATAGGTATTTAAGAACTTAGAAGCGTTTTAGCTTCAAAGATAAAATCATAGCAAAGACTGCTTTGGCAGACAAGATGTCAGCATATCACATTTTGTTGGCGATCAAAATTTTCTCTTAATTAAAGCTAAAAATATTTCAAGAAAGTAACAGCAGTTCGAAAAACCGTTTGTCTTTTTTCCAGTCTAAATACCTCTCTTTTATATCAAGTCTCCTTCAGAAGTTGTTTGAGCCGTAACACAACACTTCTCTAACTCAGCATTGCGTGAGGCCAAAGACACTTGGGTCAGATCAGAACATTAATTGCAAATCTTACTTTGATAATTGATATAATAGTAAAACATTCGTGGACAATCGATACTTTTGTCCTGGCCTTGAGGGAAGATTTCCCCTTTCCACCATTTAAATGGGTGACCTTGATATTCTGCGTGTATTCTGACTACACCTTTCTACACTTATCAGTCTTATTATGAAAGAGGGTTGAAAGGTCACTAGCCCCAGTGGTCTATTAGTAACACCTGATCGTTACTAGAACCTACCGAATGATGATGTGAGCGCAACGAGTTTTGTTATGCAGCTTGTAGCTATACAAACACAAGTTGAAGACGAAGTGCCTTTCCAGACCGCCGGTTAGGAGAGATCTTGTCACGCTTCTAGCTCGAAATGCACTACGGGATAAAAAGGTGCGAGTGGAAAATTAAAACTAATCAGATACAACGTGTTATGAAACTTGTCTTCCATTTGTGATGCGGAAAACATTCCTTCTAGCTGTCTGACAAGCTTTATACACCAACATTCTACAGTGAAACCTTAAACCTGTATTAAGCGGACCCCGTATGAGGCGGATATCCTCTATGTGTCCGCTAGCTTACGTGTAGCCGTACCCATCCCCCTCAGGGGGTGGGTACGGCTACACGTAGGCTATGTGTCCGGTTAACCCTTTACCCCCTAAGAGTGCAAATTGGCACACACGGTCATAACTTTGTGAATATTTGATAGATTTCTATGAATGTTTTCCATGAAAATTGTCTTGTGAAGATCTGCTCATTGAAGTCATAAATTTTGTCGACCCCCTCCCATCCAAGACATGGTTGACCACCCCCAGAAGTTTATAGTTCCTTTTTTGGGATGCAAATAGAGTGCAAGACTTGTTTCATATCAAGCTTAATGTACTAAGAGCTGCTAAATAAGCTATAGTTTAGGGGTATACCTAATATAGTAGAAAATTGATATATTTTTGAAGTCGTTCATTTGCCCATTTTAAAGCAATTTCTCTCAAAATGTCTACCTCCTTCAAAGCTGCTGATGTCAATTCTTAAATAAGCTGATTAGTGGCTTTCAAATGGCATATTGTACGCAGGCAGAGTGTCTTTATTTGCCGATTTGGGAAAAACTGCCGTTCGCCTTAGGGGCTAAAGGGTTGATACAGGTTTCACTGTGCAATGTTCGTGCATAAGTGGACACCAACTTGAGTCCCTGAATGTTCTTCCCACATTTACTGTAAAATAAATCTGAATTCAGCGCAAACCTCTGTTAAGCGGACGCGGACACCAATATTAAGCTATTTTGTTGCACAAAACCTGCAATAAGCGGACACCTCAAACGCTTTCTACTTCTAAAAGCTCAGCGCATTGTTCAGCGATGTCGTTTTAAAGCTAAGTAGATTATTGACTAACTGGACATTGTGTTATGAGCAGTCTTTGATCTTACACTGTGTCACATTGTGTTACAAATTAAAAGGGTTAATAATGAACTATTATTGCCTGTTTAGAGCGGACACCCTGTATTAAACGGACACTACTGTGTGTCCCAAGGGTGTCTGCTTGATACAGCTTTCATTGTACTAGGTTTTCCGTGCCCTTTGCCTTAAAATTAAACTAAATTTTCTGCCCGGAAGAGGCAAATTAAAATGCTATAGGATTATAACAATACTAATAAAATAAACCTTGGTAATGACGTAACCCGACCTCGAACTTTGTGTGGTTGAACGGGTTATCGTAGAGAATATCAAGTCGGTACTTGAACGCAAATCCGTCCTAATACAATTATTGCTAATCACAAGCAATTTCGCTTAAGACTACATCTTGCCTTACACTATTTTTTTTTGTAAGAACATTGCTTTTTTCGGCCGAGGCTGA